GAATTTCGGAATTTCAGAATCCTAGAATTATGAGCTAGTGTCGATTCTTCTAAGTTTTCTGAACTTCTTGAATTTACTTTCTGATTCTTGGTTTCTATGATTTCAAGTTTTAAACATTTTGAAATTTCCAAAACCCTAAACACTTACAGATTCCCGGAAACCACGACACCATCCTCACCAGCACCGTCGCAATGCAGAAGACTCTTCTGGACACTCACGCCTTCTAAAAATGATTGGAATTTTCGTGAATTTCCACTGCTTCTGGGCACATTGATTTTTTTAAATTCTGATTGTTTAGCTTGGCCTTCAATAAAAATGAGTTCGAAAACTTTTTTTTTGGGGGTTTTTCATTTTTCTTCTCTACGTCATCTGAATTTGTTTTCCGGTTCCTGTTTTCCGGTTTGAATGATTTTAGAATTTCAAAAATTTTAAAGTCTTAAATTTCGAAAAAAAAAACGACAGAACAAAACATTCTTATCAATTCACTGATAAGGACTTTCTGATTCTTTCTGATCTGAAATGTAACTGTAAATTTTCAAATTTTCAAAATATAAAAAAACTTTAATTTTGGGTGAATTGTAAATTTTCTAAATATAATACTTCGAAATCGCATTGGAAAATTCGTGGATTTCCATTGCTTCTGGGCACATCGACTTTTTTTTAATTCTGAATGTTTAGCTTGTCCTTTTTCAATAAAAATTAATTTTTATAGATTTTTTTGAATTAAAAAAATTACTCCAATGATCACTTGATCATTCTTTGTGTCATTCTTATCAGTCAAAGTGATATCCGAATCTGTTTTATTTTCGAATTCTTTCCTCAACGTCATCTGAATTCTTGTCCACGAAACACCAGATGAAAAAGGGTGTTGCACCGAAAAAAAATCAAATTAATTGATGTTTTAAAATCTGATCGTTCTATCAATCAGTTAGCATTAATCAAACCGAATTAGGTTTGGAAAAATGATAAATTTGATAAGAAAAAATGATTTCATCTGAAAATTAAAAAAAAAATTATTGGGATCAAAAGTTATTAAATGCACAAGGAATAAATGCAAGAATCACAGAATAGGATAGATTAGAATTACTGTAGCTTTCAACTACTTAGCAATTTCTACAGTAATCCAACGATTACTGTAGAAATGGATGGACCAGGATATCAGCGGCTGTTGGGCGTTCCGATGGGTCCAGGGAGGTGAGCTGGGAGAGGAATTGGAGCTGAAATTCAGAATTTCGGATCTTCAGAATTTTATAATTTCAGAATTCTTCATAATTTTAAAATTACAGAATCTCAGAATCTCAGAATCTCAGAATCTCAGAATCTCAGAATCTCAGAATCTCAGAATCTCAGAATCTCAGAATCTCAGAATCTCAGAATCTCAGAATCTCAGAATCTCAGAATCTCAGAATCTCAGAATCTCAGAATCTCAGAATCTCAGAATCTCAGAATCTCAGAATCTCAGAATCTCAGAATATCAGAATATCAGAATCTCAGAATCTCAGAATCTCAGAATCTCAGAATCACAGAATCTCAGAATCTCAGAATCTCAGAATATCAGAATATCAGAATCTCAGAATCTCAGAATATCAGAATATCAGAATCTCAGAATCTCAGAATCTCAGAATCTCAGAATCTCAGAATCTCAGAATATCAGAATCTCAGAATGTCAGAATCTCAGAATCTCAGAATCTCAGAATCTCAGAATCTCAGAATCTCAGAATCTCAGAATCTCAGAATCTCAGAATCTCAGAATCTCAGAATCTCAGAATCTCAGAATCTCAGAATCTCAGAATTTCAGAATGTCAGAATCTCAGAACCTCAGAATCTCAGAATCTCAGAATCTCAGAATTTCAGAATCTCAGTATTTCAGATGTTCTGAATTTCAGAATCTCAGAATCTCAGAATCTCAGAATCTCAGAATATCAGAATCTCAGAATATCAGAACCTCAGAATCTCAGAATCTCAGAAATTCAGAATCTCAGAATCTCAGAATCTCAGAATCTCAGAATCACAGAATCTCAGAATCTCAGAATCTCAGAATATCAGAATATCAGAATCTCAGAATCTCAGAATATCAGAATATCAGAATCTCAGAATCTCAGAATCTCAGAATCTCAGAATCTCAGAATCTCAGAATATCAGAATCTCAGAATCTCAGAATCTCAGAATCTCAGAATATCAGAATCTCAGAATCTCAAAACCTCAGAATCTCAGAATCTCAGAATCTCAGAATCTCAGAATCTCAGAATCTCAGAATCTCAGAATCTCAGAATATCAGAATCTCAGAATCTCAGAATCTCAAAATCTCAGAATCTCAGAATGTCAGAATATCAGAATCTCAGAATCTCAGAATCTCAGAATCTCAGAATCTCAGAATCTCAGAATCTCAGAATCTCAGAATCTCAGAATCTCAGAATCTCAGAATCTCAGAATCTCAGAATCTCAGAATTTCAGAATGTCAGAATCTCAGAACCTCAGAATCTCAGAATCTCAGAATCTCAGAATTTCAGAATCTCCGTATTTCAGATGTTCTGAATTTCAGAATCTCAGAATCTCAGAATCTCAGAATCTCAGAATATCAGAATCTCAGAATATCAGAACCTCAGAATCTCAGAATCTCAGAAATTCAGAATTTCAGAATTTCAGAATTTCAGGATTTCAGAATTTCAGAATTTCAAAAATTTAGAATCTCAGAATTCTAGAATTTTAGAATTTCAGAATTTTTGAATATTAAAATTTCAAAATTTAGAATATCTGAAACAGAAATTCAAAAATATCCTAAAAACCCAAAAATTGTTGTTTTCCAGAAATCTGAAAACTTGAACATTCAGGTTTTATAAAAATTACAAAAAAAATCATAAAATCCAGAAATTCCGTTTTTCTCGAAACCGGCTGCGGCTTTTTGTTTTTTTTTCTGAGCGGCTTTCTCGGGCCTAGTCATAGCCGGCCGCGGCTAACCGCGGTCGACAGTGCCACACTCTTATTATAAACCAAAACCCACCGCATCCGGATAATCCAACCACGCAATCGGCCACTGACCACTTCGAATTATATCATTCGTGCACACCCCCTCCATCGGCGAGTTCAGAATTATGAGCTCAGCCGAGATGAGCCCCAGAGCAAAAATATCCACCTTCTCGTCATAAATCTCTCCAGTTTGCTCCGGAGCCATATAATACGGAGTGCCAGCTCCGCCAGTGTGTTTTTGGGCAGTTTGCTCCATAAGAGATCTGAGAAACAAAAATATAGGGGGAATGTTTTGGAAACTCTGAGCTCACTGAAGTCCTCCTTCTTCCAAATTGACAATGGCTCTGGTAGCCAGTCCAAAATCCCCAATTTTCAATTTTTTGAAATCCGCGCCTCTTGGGAAAAAGACATTCGCAGGTTTAAGGTCCCGATGAATAAAGTTATTTTTATGAAGATGGTCCAACGCCCGCGCCAACTGTTTTATCCAGTCACTCATCAGACACCAAGGACGGCTCCGAGCAGTTTGAGCCATTTGGAGCCATTCCTTGAGAGTTAGCTGCTCGCAGAGCTCCATGGCAATGTACAAGTGACCCATTGATTTAGTATGGTGTTCGTTGAAAAAGACTTCTTCAAAAATTAAAAATCCAGGGTGGCAGCCTATTGAGGTGATGTTGTTGACTTCACGGGCCGCTATACTGAGGGTGGCCCTAAAACGTAAAGTTAAAGTTGATTATTTTGCACTGAAAAACTCAAAATTTAGTTTGCCAACTTTGAGCCCATTTATCTCGGTTCCTTTAGAAGATAGAGAAAAATATTTAAATTGATAAATTATTTATCTTGATATCACAAACATTTTATCAATTGACAAACTCTTGATATCTTTTATAGGAACCGAGATAATTGAGCTCATAGTCAATGGTATGGCTAAAACCTTTACTGTATGCTCCAGACAAGCTTAAGTCTCTCTGCCTTATTCAACCTACACTCAAAAAGATCCGAAGGTCTCAAAACCCATAGAATCCCCCAAAAATAACTCACGCGTCCAAATCCAATCTCTTCACCGCAAACTCCTCCATATCTCGTTTTCTATGTGCATGAAAAACGACACCAAATGCTCCTTGGCCAAGAACACTGACGATTTCATAGTTGGAATGGAAAACCTCCACACACTCAGTGCAGATGATGGGGTCCTTGACTTGCATTGTTTTTGGAATAGTAAACGTGGGATAAGAGTTTTTATAGGAAAATTATGATGGACGTCACCTACTACACTCATCCGGATCAGCTTGTGTTGTAGCTGATCATTCAAACTGATTGTTGTTATGGAATCATTTTGAATTTAAAATAGCTCATTCTAGAATTCAGGACGTTGAGCTTGTTGGTAAGCAATGGATACGTCATATACGAATGATACCAAACGCATAATCAGACGATAACAGAGGCATCATAGCTCAAAGGTTCTTATCGAACGTCAATCGCACTTTGAGGTCTATTATCCGAGCTACTATCAGAGATATCGAACATCTGTCAACTGATAAAACGTTTGTCATATTATCAGAAATATTATATCAAGTCAGTAGACACGTTTCATATATAATTTACAGGAACCGAGATAATTGAGCTCAAATTTGACGCCAGATGTTTTTTATTCTGATGGACCCATTTTTTTGGGTCTCGAATCTAACAAGCATTTCTTAAAATCAAAAAAAAATCATTTATCAATACAAAATTCATAAAATGAGATCAATAATTATCATAATACTGGTCATTTGGGCATAAAATTAGGCTTCCAAAGTTCACTTCCTTCCAAACAACGGCGAGAACATTGGGCTCAATCTGTGCGGCACCTGAGCCCATCCAAGAGACGTTGGTCCTCCAACCATATTATCGGAAACCATATTGTGAACAACTCCATTCGAATACCAGTAGTCTTCAATAGCACGACGGTCACGGAGGATGATGCCAGCGGATACTGTAGAAGACAGGAAGAGAAAAGCCAGGAGGGTGAAGAAAAGGGTCTTGAGCATTTTCAAGTAGTAGCTGATGAGCTGTTGTTGATAAAAATTTGTCTGACTGGTATCTTTTTATACCCACGGTTACCCAGGTTAGGAGAGGCGGAGCTTATTTTACCTCCCGTTATCAATACCCAAACCATGCTTGCCTCACTATCAGTTCAGTCTGATAAGACGAAACTTCTAGAAAACACTCTTATCAAGATACACATAACACATGGCCGCCCTTATCAGTATAGTAGTTTTGATCTTCGAAAGATGCGAAAAAGGGAAGATCAAACGACTAAAAGCCCAAAAGATAGGGGAAACCCCTAGTAGTTACACTTTTGATTACATACGGTCTAGTAAACAGACTTGATTTCAGGCCACGGAAAATAGGTGGTTTGGAATTTTGGGTTTTTGGATCTTGGCAAAATGGGTTCAAAGAAGGAGAGTTCAAAATAAGACTATGTATCTAGGCTAGTTTCCAACCAACATCGTCAGCTTCGAAGTTCTGTATCTAGCTTTATTCTGGTCTGATAGCTCTGAATTTTAGAAATTTGAGTTAGTGGCGTTATAAGCTTCAAAATGAATATAATCATGACCCATTTCTGGGAACTTTCA